TGCTTCCTCTGATGGAAAAGGTCCACTGTATGGTGTTAGTTTACTGTGGTTAGGGAATGAAAGTAGTATGGGTGTTGGGAGGTGCACAATAAGAGTCCTTTGAATGTAGTAAAGTGAGAAGTCTTTTTCTAATATATATATTTTAAATGTTTTATTGTGAATTATGTGATAGTTTACATGGGAGAACATTAGCTTTACATTCATCCTATCATATATCATTCCATCACCATGAATATTTTTTGAACTCTTATTCACTTTTCAGTGAAACTAATTGTAAGGGGGAAGGGTATTATGTATATGGCAATGATAATGTTTTTTCTTAATGTGTTGAATATGCTTTATATTTTATAGCCAGAGAAACAAGAAGTATGAAACTCTTTGTAGAAATCGAGCAGGCAATGACTTATATGTTGAAAGGATGATGCAGACTATTAATGGAGCTCCAAAGATGAAAGAAGTTCAGTGTGACAAAGTCATAATGGAGGACAAAGGTAATCCGTCTTTTAGTTTGATTAATTAAACAACAACCAACAGCAACAACCACTGACATCAAATTGAATTTGCCTCATGGTACCCTCATACATCACAGAGTAGAACTGCTCTATGAGGTTCCTTGGTTATAATCTGCGGAAACTCTGGGTGGGTCAAACTGCCAATCTTTATATTAGCAGCTAATTGCAAATTGCTTGTGCTATCCAGGCTCCTACATTCAGCTTCAATAAACTACCCTGAATCAGTCAATCAGCAAATAAATGTTAAAATAAATGAATCAGTCAATCAGCAAAACAAAATGGAATTACAAGGAAATTTTGACCAAGTCACAATAATTGGGAGTTCTAATATGTAGTTCTCCAATTTTGACAAATAAATTACCAAAAAATAAATAAGGCTATAGAGGATTTAAGTAGCATAATTATCAGGTTTTGTTTTTTATATTGGGAACACGATGGCTCTGTAACACAAGCACTGGACTGTGAACCACAAAGTCAGTGGTTTGAGCCCAACAGCTGCTCTGTGGGAGAAAGATGAGGCTTTCTGCGCTTGAAAAGATTTACAGCCTTGAAAACCCCTATACAGGGTTGCTGTGAGTTGGAAGTGACTTGAAAGTACATAAAAACAACAAAAATGTATTTAATATCATAGAACTTTGTACTCTTGAATTTTTCATGAAATATTTAGAGAAACTTACTGCTTATGAAGTTACAAAGAATATCAACCACAACTAATAATACTTAGATGTTCTATACACTATCATAAGCCCTTACATATATGAGGGGGCTTAAAAAAGTTCATGTTATCTCAATATAAAAATTCCAATGAAAATATTGATCCTCAAAAATTTCAAGGGGCTCCAAGTAGCCAAAATAGTATTTTAAAAGAGCAATGTTAGAAGAATCACATTTGGAATTGGCATTATGGTAGACATATAAAACAATGGAAAGAATTGAAACTCTAGAAATAAACCTAAATGTTTATGGCCAATTGATTTTTGACAAAGGTGGTGGCAGTGGTATGCTGTGGAGTCAGTTCCCACTCACAGCAACCCTGTATAGGATTTCCGAGGCTATAAATATTTTGGGGGAGCAGAAAGACTCATCTTTCTTCTGTGGAAGAGCTGGTAGTTTCAAACTGCTGACCTTTAGGTTAGCAGCCTGACTCTTAGCCACTATGCTACCAGAGTGCCAAGAACATTTAATGAGGAGCATTCAGCAAATTATTCTGAGTCAACTGGATAGACAAGAATGAAGCTGTACTTTAGTTTCTTAGTATTTCTGTAACAAATACCACCAGTGGGTACTTCACGGAATATAAATTTATTTTATTATCACTTAGGAAGCTTTGTGTTGTGATTAGGTGCTACTGAGTTGGTTCCTACTCACCTATTGAGTTGTCCCTATGCACAACAGAACAAAACATTGATTGCCTGGTTCTGCGTAATCTTTACAATTGTGTTTGACCCCATTTTTGCTTCCACGGTGTCAATCCATCTCATTGAGAGTCTTCCTCTTTTTTACTGACTGTCCACTTTACCAAGCATGATGTCTTTCTCCAGGGATTGGTGCTTCCTGACAACATGTCCAAAGAAGGAAAGACAAAGTATCACCATCCTTGTTTCTAAAGAACATTCTGGCTATACTATTTCCAACACAGGTTTGTTTGTTCTTCTGGCAGTCCACGGTACTTTTAATATTCTTCACCAATACCATAATTCAGATACATAGATTCTTCTATGGTCTTTCTTATTCATTGCCCAACTTTCACATATATATGACCCACTGATGACTCATAGTGACCCTATGAAGTTGTAAACCTTTATGTGAGCAGAAAACCTCTTCTTTTTCCCACAGAGTGGCTGGTGGTTTAGAACTGCTGACCTTGTACCTCCACTGCGCCATCAGTGCTCCATATATGCATATGAAATGATCGAAAATACCATGGCTTGGGTCATGTGCACCTTAGTCCTCAAAGGGACATCTTGGGTTTTAAAGTTTTTAAGACATCTTTTGTAGTAGATTTGCCAAATTGCAATACATCGTTTAACTTCTTGACTGCTAGTTTCATGAATGTTGATTGTGGAAGTGAGCAAAATGGTATCTTAGACGACTTCTGTGTTTCCTCTGTTTATCTTGATGCTATTTACTGGTGCTGTTATGAGGATTTTTGTTTTCTTTACATTAATATGCAATCCATACTGAAGACTATAGTCTTTGATCTTCATCAGTAAGTATTTCAAGAACTTGTTGCTTCCAACAAGTATCATCTGCATATTGCAGGGTGTTAATAAGTATTCCTGAAATTTTGATGCCATGTTCTTCTTCATATAACCCAGCTTCTCTGATTATTTGCTCAACATATAGATTGAATAAATATAGTGAAAATGATACAACCCTGTCACACACCTTTCCTGATTTTAGAACCATTCAGTATCCTCTTGTTTTCTAATTACTGCTCTTGCTCTGTGTACAGGTTCCTAATAAATATAATTAAGTGCTCTGGAATTCCCATTATTTTAAATGTTTCCATAGTTTGTTATGATCCACACAGTTGAATTACTTTATATAGTTAATAAAACTCAAGTAAACATCTCTCCGATAGTCTCTGTTCTCAGCCAAGATCAACCTGAACTGCAGCAATGGTATCCCTTGTTACACATCCTCTACTGAATCTGATTTGAATTTTTTGCAATTCTCTGTTGATGTACTGTTGTAGATGGTTAAACATTTTTTTTTCCTTTTATTTTTAAGGTTTTTATTGTGGATTGAGTGAAACTTTACAGAGCAGATCATCAGTTTAACATTCAACAAATCATACACCGTGTTTCATTACAATGATTTTAATCCCCTCCATGTACCATCAGTTAACAGCATTTCTCTCTATTCTCTTGAGCTTTTTTAAAAAACACAAAAACACTCAGGTATATATAACAATTTACAACTCCAAAAGGAACATTCTGCAAGTCTGCCTCCTGGCTACCAGCTCTTAACCCCTCTCTTCCCATAAATCTAGAGTCCTCAGCCTCTCAACCTCTCCATGACCCCATCTCTGCCTCCGTCTCTGGCATCACTGCTTCTCTGGATAAGGTCCCACATTCTGCTTGTGCTCTTCTCTCTTGATGGTCCTAGGACCCTCTGTTTCTGGAATGTAAGATTAACCACTCGCCTGTTTTTGTTACAAAACTTCTACCTTTACAATTGTGACAGTCGCAATTAGTTATGATAATAATTATTTACTATTGAATCATAATGAATCTTATCCCATCTCTTTTCACCAGACCCATCTAGAAAATATGAAGACTATTCAGTGGAGACACTTCCTTTCGCCCATACTCTTAAACTAAACTCCCTCTTGAAACCTTGTAAGCCAGTCACTTCGTGCCTTTATCGCCCCCTCATTTTAGGTAGCCAATGTCTAAATGGCCCATCCTTATCTACCCTGTGTACAGAGGGAATAGCATTGATGCTTGATGTGAAGACTCCATCCCTCTCTGTTGATATTTAAAGTTACTACCTCCATGAGTATCGATCAGGTTCATCAAACTTTAGTAATTTACCCTTGTTTCCTTTTTTTGGTAATCTTCCTATAGTTGAGTTCTGATTATCAAGCTATCGAGGCTAGGTCAAATGAGTACTGTCTGCAAGTTTGAGTGTTCTTGTGCATCTCCCCTCACTTCATATCAGCTGAATGCTTTACTCTCAGCTCTAGCCCTCTGTGGCTATATCCTTGTCCATGGGCTCGAGTGTCCTCAGGTCTCACCACACTTTGGACCAACCAGTCCCTCCTCTTCTCTCTTATCTCCAGGTCAGTGGGAGTCAATGGACTGTGGTTGAACTCAGCCCATTTCTTCATTGTTGCCTTTCCCACTCTTCCACTCACCAGTAGACCAATGTAGTCA